GAGACTCTACCTTCCTCCACGCCCTTTGGATCTAGGTTCCCTCTTGAAAGCTTATAAGCCAGTCACTTCTTACCCATTTTGGGTAACCAATGTCCAAGTTGCCCATCCCTGTCTACCCTTTGTGTGAAGGGGGTGGGAATGGTTCTTGCAGCAGGGGTTTGTTTCCTTTTTTGAGCTACTGCATTCATAGGTCGTAGGTTCTGTTTATTGAATTGTATTTTTTTTTTTTTTCTTTTCCCTCTTCTTTCTTCTTCGGGTTGAGCTCTGTTTATCCAGTCATTGAAGTCTGGTCAAGTGGGTATCATCTGCAAGTATGGGTGTTCTTACGTCTGTCTGGCCTCTTTTTATTGGCTGGCCGCCCCGCTGTCCACTCTAGACCTCTGTGGCTAGAGTGGCCCATGAGTCCCCAGATGTTGCCTCACTACTGGCCGACCAGGTCTCCACCACGGTTCACAGTAGTTTGCTGAATGATGTAGGGCTTAGCTCGCCCCTTCATTGATGTTCTTCGGGTCACCTCCCTTTCTGGGTGACACTCCCTTGTTTTTGTTACAAAACCTTTACCTTTACAGTTGTGACAGTTGCAATTAGTCATGATAACAATTAACTATTGAATCACAAGACTCCTAGCCCCATACCCATCACACCAACTTTTAATTAGTTATCAAGCACTTAGCCAATTGCATTTCTCAGGGATTCTTACGCAACAGTTGTGAGATGAATAAAAAATCGTATGTCTCAGTAGACTTCTTAAGGAAAGTACTGTTTTTGTAGTATTCTTGGTGTTAGCTGATGAATACCTATGCCCTGTCTGGTGGCACAGTGGGTTAAATACTGTGGTGCTGACTAAAAAGTTGCCTCTTCAAACCTTCCAGCTGCTTGTTGGAGAAAAGACTTGGCAATGTACTGCCGTAGATTGGGGACACTGTGGGGCAGTTCTTCTCTGTCCTCTGAGGTCCCTATGAATCAGAATCGACTCGACAGCAATTGGAACTCTTGGTTATTTTCCCATAGTCTTAAATAAAAATGTCTTCCCTTTTCCTATAGTGGGTTTTTCTTCCCGACCAAGACCAGCGGTCTCAGCTAATTCTCCCGCCCCCAATTCACGTTGACTACAGGGCAGCCTGTTTCTGTCACCGGAACCTCATCGAAATCGGCTACGTCTGTTCCGTGTGCTTATCAAGTATGTCCACAGATGTCCTTTTGGGGGACTTCTCTGTGTTGTGGGTGGGGAGGGGAGGGCAGTGAATATCTCAGCCCTCTAGGTTTGAAATCATTCTCCTTTTCTTCCCCTTCTAAATTCACAGTATTCTGCAATTTCAGCCCCATCTGCACTACATGCGAGTGAGTATCTTTCCCGTGTGTGGGTGGCTCACTGTGTATAGAGATGAGGACGTTACAAAAGGTCTTGCTCTCTCATTTCAGGACAGCCTTTAAGATCTCTCTGCCTCCCGTGCTGAAGTCCAAGAAAAAGAAAATGAAATTGTCTGCTTGAGGATGAAATCTTTTCTCCACATCTGTAGAGATAGTAGTAGAAACTGTGGCAGGGTCTGTGTGGAAAAAGGGTATGGGAAAACACATGTAGAAGGTTATTTTTAATATGGTTGTTAATCTTATAGGAAATATGCTTCCAAAACTGCACTTCTGGGGGAGTCATTCTGTAGAATATAGTTTTACAATGTCTGCTGGCTGCCTTGTGTCCAGAAAGGACACCTTTGTGATTCTGTTTTAATGAGATGACTGTTTGTCAGGGTCTGACGGTTATGACAGATTGTAGATTTGGAGTGGATTAGCCAAGTCAGGGTCCTTGCTGTGAAATGTACCTTGTATGATATTTGAACAGAGTCGGGGGGTGGGCGGGGGAATGAACACGTGATCATTTGGGGACTAATGGCATTGCCCAGAAACAGCTTCTTCCTTCACTAACAGTTCATTTCAGCAACTGCCGTATAACTTAAACCCTTCTTGTCTAAATGGAGGCTTAATTCGTCTCCGTTTCAGATATTGGCAGGTACTGTGTCTTTTGTCTGACATCAATAAATGTTGGGACAAAGTTATCCAGAGAAGACTAGAGGCTTGTCCTCATGCAAGTACAGAATCTGTTGTTAACTGAGCAAGGAGAGTGAGTGCTGTGGTCACTTAGGGAACTTTCCTTTCCCAGAGGTGCTGGTCAGTTTCTTTGGGAAAGTCCACATCTTTCGAGAATGGAGTTCTAAAAACAAAATGTTAACCCTAATAGGATTGTTTCTTTTGTTAAGGGGGTGGGGAGCCTCTAACACTGGAGAACTGTTACCCAGAGCAGCCATGGTGGTGTAGGGGTTAAGGGTTGGTGGTCTGCACCCACCACCTGCTCTGTGAGAGACAGATGTGCTGCCATAACGAACAATTCCAGCCGTGGAAAGCACACGGACAGTCCTCTGGTCTGTGGAGTCAGTGTCAGCCCGCATCCACTCGACAGCAGCGGGCTTCACTTGGGTTTGGTCATCTCGAAGCTTTGCACTGGCTAGTGAAAACTTCTACCAGTTTGAAAGAAAAAATATTTTAGATTTCAGTGTTACAGAAAGGATTTTTTGTGCAGCCATGATGTGGTTAAAGAGTCTTTTGAGTTGCAGGCTAAGTGGAGGAAGGTGGAAGGACTAGCAGCTGGTAGAGTTTGTTTATAAAGCTTATTGATAAAACCCATTTGTGTCTGAAGGCTTGTACAGCAAACATCACAATAAGGCGAGTAACACGGACTCTAGTGTGCCAGAGCATAGGAAAGCTATGCTGACACTAAGTGGTCATCTGTGAAGTGTGCAGTAGTATGAGGAACAAGTTTGCAGCAGTGTGAGCCTGGCCAGCGTGGGACACAGACACGCAGTGGAAAGATGGCGCCCACAGACTTGCTCAATACAGGGTTGTCATAACCTTCTATTCCTAAGCAGTGCAGCCTCTGCAAAGCGCAATAAAGAGAGGCACAGGGTAACGAGATACATCTGTATGAAAATGAGGTTGGATTTTCTCTTTATGTAATCTGAGAAGCTGAGCATTATATAAGCAGTTGGTTGTTTGGTTAGATCATTTTTGATGGATTTTATACTTTGGACTTGAAGTTTTATGAACAAATACACAAAGATTTTGGTGCCCTCTTTGCAAGTACTTGAAAATCCTTGAGTTTCACAATCTGTTTGCATATGTTGCCCTTAAAAAATAATATTTCATAGCCTAATTTAGTGTAATGGAAAAACAGTATTGTAAGTCTCTTAATTCCTTTGTACTTGAAGTGTTTTATATACTTGTTTTAATTTTAATTGTTGTAATTTTAACTGTTACATTTGCAGTTTATTTTGTAAACATTTTTATAATAGAATCATTTGAATTTTTATTCGTTGTTTTGTCTCATACTCATTCAACACCTCTGAAGGTGTACTTTTACACTTGAGTTGTTAAAATGCCAGACGATTTTTCCATTCAGCTCTTTAAAATTTGAATTTCAAATTTTGCCAGCTGGATATAAACACTGTTTAAATATTATACAATCATAGGTTGATACAACATATTTAAAAAGTACTTCACCATTTATGCCACTTACAGTTGCCAAAACCGAAAAATGAGGGTCCCTGGTGGTGCTGTAGGATAAGCACTAGACTGCTAACCACAGGGTTGGTAGTTCAAATCTACCAGTTGCTCTGTGGCAAGAAGATGAAACTTTGATCTTCCCGTAAAGCTTTACAGACTCGGAAATGCTAGACAGGGCCACAAGGCCCCTGTGAGTCACCAGACCTTGTAAGTGTACTATTGGAAATCAAGACTGCAGTAATCATTTAATTGAAATGGCATGCTATTTTATACTATTTTATACATTATCATAAAGAACTATAAGAAATTTTCTCTCTGGTGGTTGATTTAAAAATAATATTCCTTCAGTTAAAAAGTATCATCTTGTTTTTCTTGTCTGTACTTCCTTTTGACTTTGACGTTCCAGGGTCATTTTGCCATTGATACCTTACATAGCTTATTGTAGCCAGAAGGAAGAAAGAGGAGCCCTGAACCCTGGCCTTGGGAGTCTCATATGGCTAAGCGTGTGGCTATTAGCCCTTAGATTGGCAGTTTGAACCCACCCAGAAATGCCTTGGAAGAAAGTCCTGGTGATCTGCTACCAAAAGATGAACCACTGCAATCCCTGTGGAGCACAGTTTTACTCTGACACACACAGGGTCACCATGATGGTAACTGGTTTGGATTCTGGATTGTTGTCATGAGTCAATGAGTGGGTTTCCGGTCACCGTGACATTATGGACAGCAGAATGAAACACTGCTGGAGCCTGCGCCATCCTCAGTACTTGCCGTGTTGGAGCTCACTGTGGCAGCCACTGTGTCGACCCATCTCATTGAGGGCCCTCGTCTTTTTCAGCTCATTCACCTCTACCCAGAATGAGGTCCTTCTCTAGGGACTGGTTCCGCCTGATAACATGTCCTAAGTACACAAGAGAAGACCTTATCACTCTCACTCTCAAAGAGCATTCTAGCTTTGCTGATTCCGAGGCAGGCTGATTCACTATACTGGCAGTGTCTAACAATTAACGGTCTTAGCCAACACCATAATTCAGTGTTTGGAGTTTGGCCTCAATACCTGTCATGACATTCCTGACTTGCTCCTCAGCTTCCTTTCTTCCTGTTACCTGAAAACTGGATTTATGCACTGGAGTGATAGGGCCAATAAACTCTCTTCAAGGCAGGCTTGTTGTTGCTAAGTGCCATCAAGTCGGTTCTGACCCATACTGACCCTGTATATGGTTTCCAAAGAGCGACGGGTGAACTTGAACCACCAACCTTGTGGTTCAAACCGACTTTGCAGTCCAGCACATTAACCCACAGTGCCACATCAGGACTCCTCAAGGTAGAGTTGTTAAGTGTCATCAAGTCAGTTCTGACCCATAGCGACCCTGAATAGGGTTTCCGAGGAGTGGTGGGTGAGCTTGAACTGCCGACCTTGCAGTTCAAATGGCTTTGCGGTCTGGTGCATTAACCCACAGTGCCACACCAGGTCTCCTCAAGGTAGAGTTGTTAAGTGTCATCAAGTCAGTTCTGACCCATAGTGACCCTGAATAGGGTTTCTGAGGAGTGGTGGGTGAGCTTGAACTGCCGACCTTGCAGTTCAAATGGCTTTGCGGTCTGGCGCATTAACCCACAGTGCCACACCAGGTCTCTGCAAGGTAGAGTAGAAGAGTAAATAAATAGTCCTTTCCAAAACTGAAGTTGTTTAAAACTTCATTTTATTTGGATCCACAATCAACACTCATGCAAACAGCAGCCAACATATCAAAGGACTTAACTTACTGCATCAGGCAAAGCTATGCAAGACCTCTTTATAAAGTGTTCAAGAGCAAAGATAACAGCTTGGGGACAAAAGTGTGCCATGGTATTGCCAATAGCCTCATATGCATGTGAAAATGAGTAAGGAAGACCATAGAAGAAATGATGCATTTGAGTCGTGTTGGAGAAGAATACTGAGGTACCAGGGACTGCCAGAAGAGAGACCAATCCCTGGAGAAGGACATCATGTTGGGTAAAGTAGTGGGGTAATGAAAAAAAATGTTGGCAACAGCAACAGGCTCAAGCTTAACAATGGTAAAGATGGTGCAGGACCCGGTAGTGTTTTGTTCTGTGCACAGGGTCGCTGAGTGGAAACCGACTCAACGGCACTTAACAACAACAGGGAAACTAGACCGATTCTTTGAGTTCCATCAACCTTCACAGAAACGCACCACTGTAAAAAGGCAAGTTGGTCACGTGGGCGGAGTCTGAATGCGCAGGCCCAAGAATCGAGGCGGGCTCTCTCACTGCTGGCCCAATCACAGTGCACCAGCTCCACTGGCAGGCGGCAGATTAGTCGTTGCCATAGCTCCCAGCATTCGCTTGACAAAATGGCGGTGGTTGGGCCGCCGATCCTGCGGCTTCGCATACCTGGCAGTCTCGCATTTTAAAAAGGGCTGGCTTCTGGCAAGCGGGCTCCACAAGGTCCTGGGCATGGGCCTTCCACCGCCCACCTGTGTCCTCTTGGGGCTCCTTCTGCAGGGCATCCTGAAGCCGTTGTCGGGGGAACTGGGTGTGTAGGGCGGCCGGGCGGGAGCTGCTGGGTCGGGAGTTGAGAAGGCACAGAATGTAAAGGGTCAAAATTGGTTTCATCGGGGAGCCCCTGGAAGTCAGTAAAACAGCCACTACACACACCTTAGGCAGTGGTTCTCCGACTACTAACCCGTCCCTGTCCCTCCTCTTGTCTAGTTTTCATCCCTCCTGTCATTCGCATGTCCAGCCGTGTGGTTAGCGCGGCCCTGGTCGGAGGCACCGAGGATGTGACTTTATCCCTGGCTGTGCTGCGGAATGAGGCGGGTAAAGAGTCTAGCCCTGCTTATGGTCATCATGGGGTGGGCCAGATCCAGATTTCCTCCGAGCTCCTGCCTCCACCCCCTGCAAAGTAGAGGTGGGAGAGGGGCGCTTCTGTTAACCCAAAAGGACCCCCTGGATAGATGAGCTCTCCCTGTGTGCTTCATGTGCATCCCTCCGTTTTGCTAATGTAGAAACTTAAGTTCAGAGAGGTTGTTAACTTGCCCAGAAGTCACACAGCTTCTCTCCTTTAGGAATATTGCCAGTTCCGACTTGTGGAGTGCCCAGCAATGAGACAGGAGACTGGAGTTTGTCAGTGACTGCCGGTGTGGTAAGACCAGAGGTAGAGGTAGAACTTTCCGATGATGTATGGAGAGGTTCACATTATTTCTGCAGTACTTTTCCATGATTTGATGAGGTATCATAGAGACCCTGAGCGGTATCTATGGTTAACATGCTGCCAACATAAAGGTTGGCAGTTTGAGTCTACCCAGAAGTAGTCAGAAGAAAGGCCTCGTGATCTTCTTCTAAAAAAGTCAGTTGTTGATACCCTTGTGGAAAGGAGTTTTACTCTGACACACGGGGGTGGCATGAATTGGAATCTGCTGAAACACTTATCGTGAGATTATATAAGTATATCTAGTCGATTCACAAACAGTCCAGAAGTTCTTCTCCTAGAATTGTTAATTAGATGAGTTGGCAGGCATCCAGGTCTTTCTGCCATACTGCACCTGGTTGGATTTGAACTACAAACCTGGTCGCAAAGTGGTGAAGCACACAGCTGGTAACCTAAAGGTCGGCATTTCAAGTAGCATTTCAGCTGCTCTGGGGAGAAACATGTGGCAATCTTCTCCCATAAAGATTGTTGTTGTTGTTGTTAAATGCCATTGAGTTGGTTCCGACCCATAGCGACTCTCTAGGGGGTTTCCAAGGAGCGACTGGTGAGCTTGAACCACCAACCTTGCAGTTAACCCACAGTGCCACACCCATAAAGATTATAGCCATGGAAATCCCATAGGCAGTTGTACTGTGTTCTATAAATTCACTGTGAATTGGAATCGTCTCGGCTGCAGTGGGTTGGATGTGTTTTAAGCGGTGTACGACCCCTCTGAAATTATAAATTGGTGCATATATGCTGTGAAGTCTCCCAGTTTTGGTCAGATTATCAAATGCATCTGTAGCTCAGAGTTTTGTAATCACTGGTTTTACCAACTGTGTTTATGTTTAAAGATACACAAGCCTGGAAAGATTAAATATCTTACAGTTCATTAAGTGTTTGTTGAGTATATGTGCAAGACATCAACTCTGGAGACAGAAGGATGAGGAATGAACATTTTTAGTAGACTGATCTAAAGTCATTCTACTGAGATACACTGGGAACCGTCTTCATTACTTTTTTGTATATTTAATCTGCTGGTGAGATTATAAACCATCTGTTTGATAAACTGAGTTGCTTTATCAGACCTGTGGTCAATTTTCTCTAAGTATCCAGAAGTTATTTGCTTGTTTGTTAAACTGAGGAATAGGATCAGGACTTCTGTGTGGTCCGACTTCCATAACGATGACAGCCTTTGAAATCCTGTGGGACAGTTGTCCTCTGTCCTGTAGGCAGGTGATGAGTTGGAATCCACTTAATGGCAGAAGATTCCTGCAGAACCGACTCATTGGCAACAGATTTTCATAATCTTTACAGGAGCACATTGCCAGGTCTTTTCTGTGAGAGGCAGTGCTGGTGAGTTTGAACTGCCGACTTTCGATTAGCAGCTGAGCACTTTACCACTGTACCACCACCAGGTCCTAGGATTAGGGGAGTGGAAATGAGCAGAATGGTGTCATCTTTGTATGTAATGCTCCTTTTGTAAAACCAGCTGAGACTGAGTTGTTGCTTCCACTGCGTCTGCGTTGCTTCTTCTCATTGTAACTGTGTCTTGAGTCCCTGAAAGCACAGCAATGTTTCCTTTTCAGAACCTGTTGGAAGTGACGGTGGGGCTGAAGAGGGACATGAAACGCTGTTCCTCCAATGAGTCGGCTTCCTTCTCAGAGGCCCCATGTCTCGTTCAGACTCTCCTGGTTTCAGCCTCTGTCGGTGCAGCCTGCTCAGCACACTTACTCATTCAAGTGGAGATTTATGCCAACTCTTCTCTGGCCCATAATGCATCAGGCAAGTAAAGTCTTCAGCTGTGAAAACATCTTTGTGTGTTTCTCCTTCACGTCCTGGTCTTAGCTCAAAGGTCACATCTTCAGAGACCTGTCCGTTCCTGTTGTCTCCCCTCCTTTACCCACACACAAGTAATTTTCATCTCATTGCCTGGTTCTTGTCTGATGCCCCTTTAATTTCATATTTGTTTACCAACAGAAACCACCCAAGTAAAACATCTGCTTGATTCTTAGCATATGGCTATGGCTGGTGGGCTTGACTTCACTCCTGTGTCTCTCTTGCCCACCTAGACTAATTTTCTCTTTGTTTCATTATCTTATTTGAAAAGTTTTCACATTCTACTACTATTTTACTTAAATTTTAAGGCTTGTTTTGTCTTATTCGATGCATCTTTGTAAGCTGCATTAATCTTGTGGGAGAATGTAAATATAAAAAAGCACATTTATGAATATGTTACGATTCCCAGAACTCAATCTTTTTTTTAAAAAAATGGACTAGAAACACTCAAGACTTTTTTCAGTGGAAGGTTTTACTTCCAGCTCCACTCCGCAAAGATCGGCTGCTAGCTTCAGCCTATGAAAGCACATGTCTGCTCTATTAAAAAAAAAAAAAAAATGCAATCATGATACACAACTTACACTATTCTATTCCTTGTTGGTATTTTTTATGTGTGTGTGGTAAAATATATATAATAATAAATTGGCCGTATTAACCATTAACCAAATTAAACATTTTGACATGTACAACTGAATGACTTTAATTGTATTCACCCTGTGTTACAACCAGCACCGTCATCTATTTCCACACATTTTCCTCATCCCACACAGAAGCTCTGTACCCATTAAGCAGCAACTTCCTGCTAGTCCTTCCCCTCAACTCCTGATAATCTCTAATCTGAATTCTGTCTCCGTGGATTTACTTCTTTGGGCGATTTCATCTGAGTGGGATTATGTAATATGTAAGGAACCCTGGTGACACTGTAGGATAAGCATAGGACTGCTGACTGCAAGGTTGGCAGTTCAAACCCATCAGCCCCTCCATGGGAGAAAGAAGACGCTTTCTGGTTTTGTTAAGAGCTACAGTTTCACCAGCCCTGTATACGGTTGCTATGTTGTTGCTGTTCCTGTTGCTAGGTACCATCAAGTTGGTTCTAACTCATAGCGACCCTATGCTCAACAGAACAAAACACAGCCCAGCCCTACGCCAACCTCACAATCATTTTTATGCTTGAGCCCATTCCTGCTGCTTTGTGCTAACCCAGCTCATTGGGGGGGTCTTCAGTTTTCGCTGACCCTCTGCTTTACCAAACATGATGTCCTTCTCCAGAGACTGGTCCCTCCTGATAATGTGTCTGAAGTATGAGAGACGAAGTCTGGCCATCTTGGCTTCCAAGGAGCACTCTGGTTGTAGTTCTGCCAGCACAGATTTGTGTGTTCTTCTAGCAGTTCCTGGTGTTGTCAATGTTCTTCTCCAATGTGGTAACTCAAATGCATCCATTCTCCTGTGATCTTCCTTATTCACTGTCCAACTTTCACATGTATATAAGGCTGATGAAAATACTGTGGCTTGGATCAGGTACATCTTAGTCCTCAAACTGACATCTTTGCTCTTGAACACTTCAAAGAGGTCTTGTGCAACAAATTTGCCTACTATAAATCTCCATGAGCAGGCATCAACTCGATAGCAGCTGGGTAGAGTATGTGTCTGCCACTGTGCATTTAGCATTGTCTTTTCAAGATTCATTCATGTTACAGCACATGTCAGAATAGTTTTGTTTTTTCTTTTACATAATATGACTTCTAGAGTGCTTATAACTAACACCTGCATAGTACAGGCATCCCTAGTTCTATTAGGCCTCATGGGTAATAGCACTTTTTTTTTTTTTTACAAAATGAAGATTTGTGGCAGCTCTGCTTTGTCAGACAAGATAATCAGCTCCATTTTTCCAACAGCATGAGCTCGCTTCATGTCTCTTACATTTTGGTCATTCTCGAAATCTCTCTAACAGTTCCATAATGCTAATGCACACTTCATAGACTACAGTAGAGTGTCCACATATCTTTTGTGTGCAATGGGAATCCAAAAAATTTGTGTGACCCACTTTATTGCAATAGTTGCTTTAAGGCAGTGGTCTGGAGCCAAACCTACAAGATCTGTGAGGTCTGCCTGTATCCCATGATGTGGCTGTGCCTTCGTTTGTTTAACCAGGCTCTTACTGATGGAATTGGAGGCTTTTCCAGCCTTACACTGCAGCATATATCACTGGGCACATGTACATATCTTTGAACACAAAAGCAGTTTTTGAAAATACCCCATTTCACGTAACACCCATGTTCTAAAAACGTAAGAACATCTCTGTAGATGTTGACGTATGTGTCACTGTTTTGTGTCCCCTGCAGCAAAATCTAGCATCTCTTGCTTTCATTATCAGTTGGGATGTAGGGAGAGGCTTTCCTCATTAGTCTAGGTATATCCCTCCTGTCGGACTTTTACTGTCCTTCCCGTACTTGTCACAGCCCCGAACTGGTTTTGGACTTTTCGGTGGTTCAAATAAGTTACGATACCGTATGGAAAGATTCCCAAGACTATCCTGTTAAGTTAAAAACAAACAAACAAACAAACCAGATGAGTAATGCCGTCTGCTGCCTTTTGCTATAAAGGAGGCAGAAAGAACATATTTGCATTAAAAGATTCTGAAAGGATATCTGAGAAGGTAACAAGGTTGGGAGAAATGTTGAAGTCTGCAGGAGCTGAGAGTGAAGATTGTGACCATCAATTTTAATATTCTTTAGTTTTTTCTAACCTTTATTTCTCATACTGAGATTTCATTTCTGAAACGGTCAGCACTGATTCCAAAACAAGACAGATCCAAATGTAAGATTCCATGTTTAAGAATTAAAAGAGATTCCAACTTTTCTACCTAAACTTTAAAAATTAAGAAAATATGCTGAATATCATTTATCAATTTTTCTAATGTATTTATTATCTTACTTTTTTTAAAAAAGTTTTTATTCTTTAGATTTTTTTGGTAGCCATGTGAATATATTACCTATTTACAAGTTTAATTTTTTCCCCCAAAAGGAAAAGCATTGTATTCAAATTAGACCAAAAAAATTCAGTGGATTCTTGAACCAAACTTATTGGGAGCTGTCGAGATGCTTGTGACTCATGGCAGCTCCAGGTGACAGAAGAACTGCTGCAGAGGTTTCCTAGGCTGTCACCCTGAAGGACATACAGGGACACACGGGGAATTAATTGTAGCTGCCAAGCACGGGGTCCACGTTGGGTTGTTAAGCAAGCTTTATGATTCAAACCAACCACATGTTCTGCAGGACAAAGATGAGATAGTCTGCTCCCGTCAAGATTTACAATCTCACAGGAGCCCTGGTAAGATAGCAGATTCTGAGTTGGGCTGCTAACTGCAGGGTCAGCAGTTCAAGTCTGCCTCCCGCTGCTCAGGAGAAAGATGAGACTTTCTGGTCCTGTAACGAAGTGCAGCCTCGGAAACCCTGTCTGGGATTGACTGCACAGCACACCACCACCACTACCACTAGGAGCCAGTTTGATGGCAGTGGGTTGGATTTAGGTTTTGGTGTCATTCATAGCAGTGACTTATTAGTATTTTTTGCAGGGTTTTTTTTGTGTGTGTGAACAAAGCCAAAATTTACAGAGCTGATCATCAACTTCACATCCAGCAAATCATGCCATTGGTTTGGTCTCGATGATTGTAATCCCCTTCCTGTAACAACAGTTCTCCTACTTCCTCCCTCTGGTTTCTGTTTCCATTCTGCACTCCTTTCCAACTTCTCTGAATCTCGTTCCCAGGTAACTTGCCCTTTTGATCTTGAATGGCTGACCATTCGCTGGCGGGCAGCCCTCACTAGTGCTGTTGTCCCTGATAGATACTATCTACCGATAAGTTAAAAATTTGGACACGGCGGTGAGTTCCCTTCGGGATCTGAAGTATAGCCTAGGCCATAGGCTTAGATTCTTCCAGTCTCTTTCTGACCAGTAAGCTCAGTCTTTTTTATAATTAAAAATTTTTTTCCTTTAACAACGTACTTGAATACATTTACATAATATTTTCAGAATGCCTTTGTACAAATATCCAAGCTGAAAAAATGAGTCTTTGTCTGTTAGTAATTATGAGGTGTCCACTCTGACCCCATGAAGGTATGGAAAATTTTGGAGCCAGGCAGACAGAGATGAGAACCAGAAAAAGGATGGAAGGACAGACAACAGGTATGTGGGATGCCCAGGTAGCAGCAGAGCCTCTTAGAGCATGCTGAAATGGTTAGAAAGCACAAAGGCAGGAGATGTAGAAATGGACCACCCAACGTCTGCCTGCAGGTCACCCAGGAGAATCCTGTTCTGAAATGCCACTCAGGTTTCCTCATGTGGAAGGTCAAGCCCTTTCCCTCCTAACGCTTTGGTTACGTGGCTTTCCTTGGTTTCTGATTCCAGGGATGCGCTAGAGTTCTGCTATCTTAGAGCGTAGTGTATGTGTATATATATATATATAATTTGTTGTTGTTGTTAAGTACCATGGAGTCGGTTCTGACCCTGCACAGGGTTTCTGAGGCTGTAAATCTTTACAGGAGCTGAACGCCTCATCTTTCTGCTATGGAACCACTGGTAGTTTTGAACTGTCGACCTTGAGGTTAGCAGCCCGATTCGTAACCACTACTCTACCAGAGCTCCTTATCTATATCTATATCTATATCTATATCTATATCTATTTGTTGTTTAGTGCTGTGGAGTCAGTTCCTATCCATGGCGACCCTGTATAGGTGAGGAGCAGCTGGTGAGCTTGAACTGCCAACCTTGCAGTTCAAACAACATGATATATATATATATATAGTCACTGTGGTTCAGAACTGACTTGATGGCACTTCACAACAACAACATATATATATATAATTGTTCTTTTTGTCACTATTAGAATCTATCAATTAGAAAAACAGTTTTGGTTTGTGTTTTAAACTTCTAATTGTGAATTGGCTGGAGGTTTGCTGAGCAGATCTGTTTTCCATTCAGCACCCCCTAGTGGTTGGTGCCATTCACTGCACTTCCCAGTGGAACCTTAGCTATCCCACTGACTCCCTGAGTTTCCTGTTTTCATGGCTACTGCTTCCCTAACCCTTCTGAACTTTGTCTTTGGGTTCATACTGCCCTTTTTATTCTCACATGACTGATGGCTCTAGTGTTATGATTCCCCTTAAGACCTGTCTGTTGTTTGGCTGAAAGTTGAGCCATGGGCGTGAGTTCCGTTCCAGACCTGATGGGTGGCTATGGGCCATTGTCCTGGGACTGGGGGTGGGAGTGTTTCCACTAGTCTCTATCTGACGAGTGAGCTTGGTTGTTTAGCTTTTTGGCCTTCCCTATCACCAGAGTGTTTTCTAACTGGGTTTTTGTTTCCTTCTCCGTGGGTGCCGTAGGCATGTGTTATGTTTTACGGGGTCCCTTGCTATATCATGTTTGGTGTGATAATCTACAGAACAGATGATTTCATCTTTGTATGGATGTCAATCACATGACAGCGCTTGGTCAGAGAGTTTCATCAGGTGAACTTTTCTGTTGTTTGTACTTTTCAGAGAACAGGACTGTTACTCCCAACCAGGTGTACCAGCCCTTTGGTCCTTGTCCTTGTGACCTGACAGCCAGGGCCTGTGATGTGCGGTGCTGCTGTGACCAGGTAAGTCCTCTGTGATGTCTGGACACAGGAGTGTCCTGTGATGTCCTCAATAGCATGAGCACCAGCAATTCCCCATCAGTACCAGAGCGCTGTAGGGTTAGCACTGGACACTTTGAACTGCAAGGTTGGCGGTGTAAATCCACCAGCCACTCCTCAGAAACCCTATACATTGTTTCTGTGAGTCAGAACCAGCTCGGTGGCATATAACAACAACAACAGCAACCATTCAGTGAATGAGCTCTCCAAGTGAAGTTATATGCCAGGTTGCAATTTGTTTTCAGATAGTGTTTGCTGATACAGCATGTTTAGTGTAGTTTATGGAAGGAGAAGAAAAAAAGTGAATTTCTTTGGGTAATGTCAATATTGCAAAAATTATACTGATAGGATGGTTTTAATCTTAGTTAGAAATCATTAAGAATCTATAGAGGGGTGTTGTGTCCCTGTAGGGTAAACATGGGGCTGAAAGTTGGTTTGAAGTGCAAGGTCAACAGTTCAAATCTACCAACCACTCCATGGAAACCCTATACAAGGTCACACTGAGTCAGAACTGACTCGATGGCACTTAACAACAACAAACAACATAGAGAGGAGACTTTAATGGAATGTGGAACTCATTGGACAGTATCATCAATGACACAGACGAGTAAGAAATGGCTGCCACAGTGCTAACCACGTCTCGTACGCCTCACGCACTGGCAAAAAGAAAACGTTGCACCTTCCATCCACTAGAACAAAAATTTTAAAAATTGACAGTTGCAGAATTGGGAAGTGTTTTTGCACTGATCTTTTGCTAATGTAATTAGCAGTAAGTTTTGCATGTATGACTTAATAAAACCTTGAATCATAAAAAAAAAACACCCAAACCATAAAACAACTACAACAGCACATTGATGGAACTGTCAGAGAGGTTTAAGCAGGATTCCTAGGAGGATGTGGAACGAAGGACATCATTGGCAGAAAGCAGAAAATACCAGAAAGGTTTTTATCTGTGCTTTATTGACTACACAAAGGCTTTCAGTTGTGGATCTTTGCAACAATAAATAACATCATGATCAGTGGAGAAAAGATTGAAGTTGTCAAAGTCTTCATTTTGCTTGGCTCCACTATCAACACTCATGGAAGCAGCAGTCAATATATCAAGCAACATATTGCATTAGACACAACTTATGCACAAGACTTCTTTAAAGTGTTCAAGAATGACGATGTCAGTTTGAGGACTAAGGTGCACCTGACCCAAGCCATGCTGCTTTCAATAGCTTTATGTGCTTGTGAAAGTTGAGCAATGAATAAGGAAGACTGCAGAAGAAATGATGCATTTGAGTTATGGTGTTGGAAGAGAATATTAAAAGTACCATGGATTTCTATAAGAACAATCAAATCTGTGTTGGAAAAAGTACAGCCAGAATGCCACTTAGAAGTCTGGATGACCAGAATTGTCTCTCTTACTTCAGACCTGTTATCAGGAGGGACCAGCCCCTAGAGAAGGACGTCATTCTGGGTAAAGTGAAAAAGAGGAAGACCCCCAATCACATGGGTTGGCACAGTGGCAGCAGTGATGGGCTCAAGCTTAGCAACATTTGTGAGGACGTCACAGGGCCAGGCAGTTTCTTTTGCTGACATAAAGTCACCGTGAGTCAGACTTGACTTGATGACACCCAACAACAGTAACTACCAGGGAAAGGAAACGCAGTGTTGTTTTTCCATTGATTTTTGTATGCTTCCAAAATCGTATACACATTCCATAATCTAATTATAAAACGTTGCAGCCACTGCCATTCCCCGCCCTTGGCAACTACCAGTGTGCTTTCTGTCTTAACCGATTTGTCTATTACAGGCATTTCATAGAAATGAAATGACACTAAGGTGGCCTTTCACCAAGTAGAATGTCTTCAAGGTTCATCCAAGTCTTAGTGTGTAATGGAATGCTCTTCCTTTTTATCGCCAAATAATGGTCTGTGGTATGTGGGTATAAGCACTGGGCTACGAACCACAAGGTCGGTGATTCAAGCCCACCAACTGCTCCGCAGGAGAAAGATGAAGCTCTGCTCGTGCAAAAATTTGTTGTTGTTATGTGCCGTGGAGTCAGTTCCGACTCATAGTAACCCTGTACAGGGCTTCCGAGGCTGTAAATCTTTACGGGAGCAGGAAGCCTCATCTTTCTCCTGCGGAACAGCTGGCAGTTTCAAACTGCTGACCTTGCGGTTCGCAGCCCGATTTGTAACCACTACGCTACAGTGGCGCTGTGGGCTTATGCACTAGACTGCAAAGTCAGTTTGAACCGCAGTGTGGGCACTTCAAGCTCACCAACTGCTCCTTAAAAACCCTTTACAGGGTCGCTATGGGTCGGAACCTACTCGACGTCCCTAAGCAACAACAGTGAAGAGCTATTTAAGGCTGAGTTGGAACAGACTTGATGGCACTTAACAGTAACAACATATATAGATTTACAAGAGGCCTTCAAAAGTTCTTAAAAAGTTTCCGGCTCTTGATTCCATTTTCCATGAACGTTTTGAAGTTCCCTCGAGTATGTGTATGCATGTGTGTAAAATTTGATTTATGTATCTTCCACTTGATAGATATTTGGATATTTTCCACTTTTTGGCTCTTGTAAACAGTGCTGCTGTGGTTGTACGCTTACGAGTAGATTGGCTGAGTGTTTTGGGAACTCTGGGTTTAACCTTTGAGCATCTGCTGTTCTCTTTCCCACGGTGGCTGCACCATTGTACATTGCTCCCAACGACGGATGAGGGTTGTGTGTCCTCATTCTCACCAACCCTTGCTATAATCTATGTCCTTAATTACAGCTAAGTCGTTGCTCACTGTGTTTTTGATTTGCCTTTTGCTAATGACATTGAGCATCTCATGTGTGCTTCTTAGTCATTAGCAGGTCGCTGGAGGGCTGTCTGTTGAAATACTTGACTCATTTGTTCAAAGTGGATTGTCTATTTATTATGGAGTTGTAAAAGTTCTTTATATATTATAGGTATAAATCTTTCATCCAGTATATGATTTTCAAAAAATTTCTTCATGTGTCAATTTCTTAAGTTCTTACTGTGATTCCTAGCTTTTTATTGTGAAAGTTTGCACAGATGGGTTTTTCAGATTAATAATTTATACACGTTTTGTTTTGTGGCATCGGTTACAATCCTACCATAGTGTACCATGTCTCTTCCTGCTTCTTTCCTGTGTTGATACCATTTTCATTCATCCTTCATTCCTGGCCTGCTTGCCTTCTGAGTTCTGTCTTTGGATAAATGCTGCCCTTTTGTGTGATTGGTTGTTGTAAGGTGTCCTTAGCTCCTGGGTAGTGTGGTTCATCTTACGGGTCTGTCTGTCATTTGGCTGAAAGTTGAGCCACAGGATAAGCTCACATCCTTGGTGGTGTCTTAAATGCACAAAAGTTGAAAATTTTGGTCATGTACAATTTAGCCATTGTTTTCTTGTCCAAAATGCCCAAGTTTAAAATTTTGGTGAAGTACAATGTAGCCGTTTTTTCTTGGATCCTTGTGTTTTTGGTGTCATATGCATGTGAAAGCTGGACATTGAATAAGGAAGACCGTAGAAGAATTGATGCCTTTGAGTTATGGTGTTGGAGGAGAATACTGAAAGTGCCATGGACTGCCAAAAGAACCAATAGATCTGTGTTGGAAGAAGTGCAGCCAGAGTGCTCCTTGGAGGCCAGGATGGTCAAATGTAATCTCTCATACTTTGGCCATATTGTCAGGAGGGACCAGTCGCTGGAGAAGGATACCATGTTTGGTAAGGTGGAGGGTCAGAGAAAAAGAGGAAGACCCCCAACGAGATGGATTGGCCAAGTGGTAGCATCAGTGGATTCAAGCATGGCACTAATTGTGAGGTTGGCCCAGGACCTGGCAGTGTTTTCGTTCTGTTGTGCATAAGGTCACTATGAGTCGATACCGACTCGATGGCACCTAACAACAACAATCTAAGGTCAGGAATTGTGATGTGGTGCTGTAGGGTATGCACTGCACTACTTACATCAAGGTCAATAGTCAACCCCACCAGCTACTCCCTGGAAACCCTTTACGGGGTCTCTGTGAGTCAGAGGGGCTTGGTGGCCGTGGGGCGTGGGTATTCCAATGGAAGAAAAGTAGGAGATGCAGAAGAGGCTCTCTGACTCATCTCCAGCACTGGCACCACCACTAGCTGCCCTCTCACCCGTTCTGACTCGTGGCAACTCTGTGTGTCTGAAGAGAACTCTGGTTTTCAGGAGTCCATCACCAGGCCTCTGTCTGAGGCACCTCAGGGTGGATTTGAACCTCCAACTTTAGTTAGCAGCTGAATGTGTCAATCATTTGCATCACCCAGAGACACCACTGGTACCCAAGACATCCCCATTTTTGGATGCGTGTAATTATGTGTCATGGTTAGTGTTACAAAGCAGGCAAGGAAAGTTTGGGCTCCGCATTTGTATAATGATGCTTGCATATCTGCAGCTGATTAAAAATAAAGCACCTTGCAAATCTAGTTCATATAGTAACAGTGTCAAAACGAGGCTCCTTTTCCTTCCTGAGTGCATTACCTTCTCGTCTCTAATTCTTGTGTCCGGTGTGCCATTTCTCACTGCGTCAGCCCCTCCCATCGTGGTCTGCATCAGTGAAGACTTCAGAGCACTAAAACTTATGACTCTCATTTGATGCATGAAACTGACCACCATCGAATTGATTATGACTCATTTTGACCCTTTTTTAGGGTTTCCAAACTTATAAATCTTCACTGGATCAGAAAGCCTCTTCATTCTCCAACTTACATACTTGCTGTTGTTGTCAAGTGACACTGGATTGGTTCTGACTCACAGCGACCCTGTATAGTTTCCAAGGTAGGGTAGAACCACTGGCATTGTGGTTAGCAGTCCACTGCTTATTTTACAGTACCACACCAGGGCTTTTAATCTGTTAAAAGATTGCACTGCTCTTATTTAAATCTATACATCAGTTGCTTTTCTCCCATCTGAGAACCAGGGATTCAGGACCTAGTTTAGCTTTTCGCTCCCTTAGTTCTTTGTGTGATGGAGCTGTGGTAGAATTCTTACCTTCCAGGCATGACACCAGGTTTGGTTCCCGGCCAGTGTCCCTCATGAGCAGCTGTAGCGCTACCCCTCTGTGTTGCTATGATTCTAAATAGGCTTCAGTGGGTCTTCCAGACTAAGACACATTTGCAAGAAAGGCACTGAGATCTGCTTCTGAAAAATCAACCTCTGAAACCTTGTGAGTCACAATGGCCTGATCCGCCACTAACCATGGGAATGGTGAAGGATGAGGCAGCCTTGACTTCTTTTCTATGGGGATTGTCATGCGTGGAAGACCAGTTCTGCAGCAGTTAACCGTGACCATCCTTAGTGCAACAAGGTAGACTATGGATGAATAAATGAGTCACATAACTTTTTAAGGGTCACTGGCATTCTTATGGAACATGGGGCTGTGGCCTAGGCTCTGGAGGACAATTAAAAAGGGAACATTTACTCTGTTTTATTACACATTTGGAATCTGTTTCATCTTTTCCCCCTTATATTGTTTTAAGCAAGCACATCTTACATCCCAAGTAAAGCTGGTTCCCTTTAAGGCAGAGATCCCAACTTGAGGGATGTAATTAAAGAAATCCTAGAATGGTTTGTTTCTTGTGGGCACAAGGCCCTTTTAGGCCACATGGAGATTGTCTTTGTTCCTCACTTGCTCTGGGGCATCCTACCAGCCGTCACAGACTTGATATTGTGTTTCTGCCATGTCCCACGTCTCAGGTGTTGTGAACACCCAGCCCGCATGCCAGGGGAGTTCGGCTCTCATAATGAAGCTCTTGTCTTCTCATGGTCTATCTATGTCTTTTGTTTTCTCCTCGTCTCTATGTCTTTTGTCTTCTCATTGTCTTTATGTTCTTTTGTCTTCTCATTGTCTCTATGTCTTTTGTCTTCTCATGGTCTCTATGTCTTTTGTCTTCTCATTGTCTTTATGTTTTTTTGCAAGGAGTGCTCCTCAGACGCAACAGAACTGTTCACACAGTCCTGCTTCACTGGCGTGTTTGGAGGTGACGTGAATCCTCCTTTTGATCAACTTTGCTCGGCGCAGACAACACATGATGTCCCTGACTGGTTCCCCTTCCTGTGTGTGCAGTCTCCACTCACCAACTCGCCCTTCCTCGGTTACTTTTACCATGGCGCCATGTGAGTGTGGCATCCTGGACTGTGATGGGACATTGTTCTCCTGCTCCACGGAGAGCCATGTCCAGTCGGTTTGTAATGGGGGTCATGTTTCTCTCAGGACCCCACACAACCTCCTGTGCTTGAAGTATGCAATTCTAGGTGGTGGTTTGAAAGTTTACGTCTCATATAGTGTCCAGTTTGATGGCCCTTAGCAGTTTTCTGTTACCTCAGTCCTGGGCATCATTGAATAGATGGTGGTATTTAGATAGTAACTGATTTTTCTTTTGTATTCTATTTGAAAAAAGAACCCTTTACAATATGAACGTTCCCAATCTAAACATAGAGAAAATTGTTGTCAAATAGTGAAAAGGATGGTGTGATGAACCACTGTGCCATTTTACTTGCCGCATGCCAGTTGCATGCAACTCACCCTGTTTCAGCTACTGAAACTCCCCTTTGCTGGATGAAAAGAAGCCGTGGTAGAGCTGTGGAACAAACAATGGACTGCTGACCACAAGGTTGGTGGTTCAAACCTACCAGCCGCTCTCAGGGAGAAAGATGAGGCTTTCTGTTCCTCTGTATATTTGCAGCGTCAGAACTGCTGCACCTCGTTGCTATGAGTCGGAATTGACTTGATGACAGTGAGTTGCTAGATTAAAAGGACCATGGTGGCGCAGTGGGTTAAGCACTAACCTAAAGGCGAATTGCTGAAATCCACCAGCTTGTACCTAGGAGAAAGAGGAGACTGTTTGCCCAGGTAAACATCCTGTCAGCCTTGGGAGCCCTATGAAGCAGTTCTGCTCTGCCCTGTAAGGTTGCGAGGAGTTAGAACTGACTCACTGGCAGTGGGCTGGGTTCTGGTTGATTAAAGGAGCCCTGGTGGTGCATTGTTTAAGCGCTTGGCTGCTAACTGTAAGGTTGGGGTTTGGTCCCTACCAACTGTTCCATGGGACAAGACCGTATCAGTCTACTTTCCTCAAGATTCATAATCAAAACCACCAACACGTGCATATGTCCATGTTGACTCATCGTGACAGGTAGGGCAGAGTCGAACTGTCCTTATCCACATCATTCCCACAGAGCAGCTGCTCGGTTTAGGCTGCCAACCTTTTGGTTAGCATTTAAGTGCTTAACCACTGTGCAACCAGAGCTCCTTCCATAAAAATTGCAAACTGGAAACCCTATGGGGCGTTCTCCTCTGCACGGGGGTCAGAATGGACTCATCAGCAATGAATTTTTTTTTTTTTACTAAATTCCTGTAAAACAAGCCGCAGATAATGAGTGTGAGTTTTTACTCATTTGTTTCTTGTTTGCATCAATCAAGACTGGGTCAGTCAGTTTGTTTTGAGTTGTTGTTAAGTGCTATCTAGTTGGTTCCGACTCATAACAACCCTGTATAGGGTTTCCGAGGAGCGGCTGGTGGGTTTGAACTGCTGACCTTATGGTTTACAGTCCAGTGCTGACCCTGCAACACCACACCAGGCTTCCTTATTTTTGGCTCGGTATTTAAAAACATAACGCTTCATTTAGAAGACATTGAATGGTAGGCTAACAGCGGTGTTTTTTGGGTAGGGGAAAGAGTGGGAGACTCATGGGGACCTTTAACTTTCTATATTATACAGGTTTCTATGATGTAAGTTTGACACTGCCAAAGTAACTACTTTTGTTATTAAGAAAAGTAAGAAAAAAAAATGTATAAAAGATTGTTAGCAGCTGCTAGCTGAAAGTGTTAATGATCTTTTTTTACTGATTTCAGTTCTACTAAACAAGACTCTTTCATTGAAATACCTTTGTATACTGATCTAAAAGATCTTTCCGATTCTGGTTACAAACAAGGAGATCCAATTATGACTGTACACAAGGGTTACTTTACTATTCCACAGGTAATGACATCAACTTTACTATGCTAGAGCCTTCTTCTCTTACTCTTCCCTTCCTGTTGATAATTCATAGCTCCCTTGGTGGCACAAAGGGTTAAGTATTCACCCACTAGTCAAAATGCTCATGGTTGAACTCCTCCCGAGGTACCTTGAAGGAAAGGCCCTGGCAATTCTGCCTCCCCAAGGTCTCAGCCTTGAAAACCCTGTGGACAATGCTTCTCTGCACACAAGTGGCCACCATTCGTTGGCTAAAAACAACATTCTGAATTTAATTCAGATTGCTAGTTTAAAATCTTCCCCTAAATTGCTAATCTCTCTCTTAAAGACTTGTGTAGACTCGACTGTCTTTATAATCTCTAAATGTTGTTGTTCATGCCAACGAGACAGTTTTGACCCACAGCAACTCTGTATAGTGTTTCCAAGGCTGGTAAACCTTTGTAGGAGCAGAAAGCCTCATCTTTCTTTCACAGAGTGGTTGGTGGGCCCGAACTGCTGACCTTTATGGCTAGCAGCCCAGTGCTGATCCTACTGAGCCACGATTGTTTTAAGTAGTCACTCTTAATCGCCTCTGTGCTAAATTTCAGAGTGAACTTACAAAGTAAAAGCTGAAAGGTTTTCTGTACATTTTTATTTAAATAATCTTCTTTTGTTTCTTTTAGCTTAACAGCCCGTTTCTAGGAATTTAGTAATTCTTTATAAAGAACCCTAGTAGTGCTGTGGGTTAAGCATTGGGCTGCTAACTAAAACGTCAGTAGTGTGAACCTGCTAACTGCGCAGTCTGCTTCCGTAAAGATGTACAGGCTCAGCTACCTTATGGGGTTGGTGTAATTCGGAATCAACTGACGCACTGGGTTTAATTTGGTTTTATAAGTCATTATTCAGTATTCCAGAATTTTGCAAAATATTTTGTGACTTAGAGTCTTAAGTGAAATCTTCAGTTTTCAGTATCAAAATTATGAGGGAAAAATATCTGTCAAAAGGGAACATGGGCCCCTGACCTATTTTTTTTTTTCTTATTCTTAATACAGTTTCATTTTAATGGGACATATTTTGGGGTCTGTTGTGGACTAACCCAATAAAATAAGTACTGCAGTAAAGCAAATAACACAAAGTTTTTAGCTTCCCAGTCCATAGAAGTGTTGTGTTACCGCTATACTCTAGGACTCCTGGTGTGGCACCGTAGAATCAGCACTGTGCTGTGAACCACACAATTAGCATTTCAAACCCACCAGCTACTCCTTAGAAACCCTACACAGGGTCTCTCTCTATGAGTCGGAACTGACTCGATGGCACTTGACAACAACACAGTTTATTAAATGTGCAATTATTGTTGTTCAGTGCCATCGAGTTAGTTCTGACCCATAGCAACCCTGTATAGGGTTTCCGAGGAGCGGCTGGAAAATTTGAACCACCGACCGTGTGGTTCAAACTGACGTTGCAGTCCAGCGCACTAACCCACAGTGCCACACCAGAAAAATGTTTGAAATACTGTGAGAATGACCAAAATAGAACCCAGAGACACAAAGGGAACATATGCTGTTGGAGAAATAGTGCAAGAAGGTACGCTGGACGCAGGGCTGCCAGCGACCATTCGTTTGTTTAAAAACAAAACTACTTCTTATCTATGAAGCACAATAAAGCCAAGTACCACAAACCAAGGCCTGATGGCACTAAATACCTGTTATACCTGTTGCTGAGATGAGGGGGAGAAAAGTTTATAGTCATGTTGCTCTCAAATCTGCAGAGCAGGGGTTTTCACTTTGTTTTTGTGAAATGCTCTTTATAGCGGTTCCTCCATTGAGTGCTTTAGCAAATGATTGATTGGCAAGCCAGAGACAAAGTTGAGGGACTGGACATTGTACCAGCCCGTGTTGACACTGAATCAGCAGCAGGATCAGCTATAGAGAGAAGATGTTTAAGTAGCTAGCTGAGGAGAGGTCATCAATCTGTTGAGGTTTCCCTTACATGTAGGTGTCCCTGGCTGGGCAGTGTATGCAGAATGTACCAGTGGCATTCCTTCAGAATTTTGACATCAAATGCGTCACGGATTTGGAAATGTACCAAGAAAAAGATGATATTCACAATATGAAGATCAAAAATGGTACAATAGGAGGTATGTTGTCATTGTCTGAAAAGTGAACAGAGACCTGAACATTAAGGTCAACTCTCAGGTGGATATTAATCAGTGTGAAAAAGGGTATTTCAGCTGCCTAGGAAGGCAGAGATTCTCTTTGGAAAAATTTGTTTCACAAGACAGCTGACTTCATATTCTTTCCTTTTAAGTTGAGGTACAATTCACGTAACTGTTTAAAAATGTACAACTCAGTGGCACATTAGTACATTCCCTATGATTTGCAACCACTGGCTCTATCCGTTTCCAAATGATACTCATCATCCTAAAAGGAAAACCACTTGTAGTCGCTCTAGTTAACCCCTCCTTCCAGCTCCTGCCACCCACCAGTCTTCCCTTTGGGGAATTCATAGACCTGGAGTCATGCCGCATGTGGGCCTTGTGTGTTTCACTTCTCCCAGTCAGCATGGTGTTTTCAGGGTTCATCTGTGTTGTGGCTCGGATCCGTGCTTTGTTCCTTTGGATGGCTGAATTGCATGGATCGACCACATGTTCTGTACTTACGCACCAGTTGACTGTCTCTTTAGCCAACCTGCTGACTATTCTGTGCATTAATTGCATATACCTGGCAGTAACAAATGCCAAGTTTTGAGGTAAGAGTAATTAATGCTGGCTGTGATGGATGACGTTACGTGTCCTCTTGGCTGGGCCGTGATTCTTGAGTTTGGCGCTTCTATAATGTCATTTTGTGATCTGAAGTGGCTGTCCTCCATTTCGCACGATGACCTGGTCTTTGGAAGGTAACTGTGTTGGTAAGTGAGCTCAGGGCGTCATTAGAGTAGAGGGAATATCCCATTGATGCGGCTTGTGGAGAGTTTTGTAATTGGCACATTGGGCTCCTGCAGTTACCATATTTACTGAGTAAGCTTTGTCTTGAAGTAAGTAGCTATGACCGTGCTAGGCCATGTGAGCCTAAGTATATTTAACGTTATCTTTTTAGGAATAGTTACTCCAAAAGTCATCTATGAGGAAGCAACTGACCTAGACAGATTCATCACAGCTGCAGGTATTTCAGTGTTACACTTTATGTCATTTCTACTGGAGTCCGTTTGTCATTTCTTACTCGTCAGTGTAACCCTGGAGAAAAAGGTCTTTTTGTTCAAAATCGTCAGACGTTCACACAGTGAGAAAGCTGTTCCACTAACATGCCATTTGGCCCTGCTTCTGACACTTGTTCTGACTTGGCTTCCACATAACTTAGGCTTTGTGACCCGAGGCAGTTTCCTCACAGCCTCCAGGTTGTTGGTGGGGGAGGGAGGCAGGGGCCGGGCGGGGGGTGGGGGCGGGTTGTGTAAGTTCCAGGGCCCCTCCAAATACTCAGGCTCTGCAAATCTCTGTTTCCATGTGGTCCATGTAGGTTGGAGAATTCTTTATGGCGCCGTGTTTTTATTTCTGTCTTTCTTTTCTTGTTTTTGCTAACTGAACCTTGCATTTGTGATGTGGCCGCATCAGTCATGCAGGGGTCTGGCTGCTAACACCAGACTTTTGTTTTTAATATAAGATGCTGTTTGGGTTTCTTCACAATATATTGAAATCCTTAGATTTCATTCATTGTCAAATATGAGAGGGCTTCAAAAAGTTCATGGAAAGATTCCAGTCTTTTAATTCCATTTTCCCATGGACTTTTTGAAGCCCCCTTATGTTAGGAGTGTGCCAACTATAAGTAGTGAACTAGACACAGGCTCTGCTCTTCCGGAGCTGACATTAGGTAATCCTTCTTGTAAGCAACACTTTACTGTGTGTGCTTCATGTTAGGCTGTGAACCAGGGGCTTGGGACACAGAGATAAAGGGGACGGGCCTCGTTCGGGGTGTTGTGATGGTTTCTAAGGGGGTGTAAGGCTTCTATGTGTTGGGACCAGGGAAGGCTTTCCTGGGGAAACAGTCGTTCATCATGCTGTGTCTGGGACTCAGAGATAGACCCCTCTACTGCGGGGAGTTAGGTCAGATAGACAGGCACAATGATTATAGATGGACACTCCAGGGACTCTTTAACCTTAGTACAATGCTCTTTTATACACAGAAACCCCTTCAGATAAAGGATCGGCTCCCAGAAAAGTGAATGTAGAAGAGCATTATGTTTTCAGATGGAATACTAATACAATCAGTGAAATAAACGTCAAAGTCATTAGAGCTGAAATTAATGCCCACCAGAAAGGTAACTTTGCTGAAGGCAGAGAAAATACTTGTAGCTTAATGTTGTTGTTTTTATAACCTTTTCTTCAGCAGTTTCAGAATTATGGCACATAAAGCTAAATTAGACTGATTTCTCATGCATATTTGTGATTTAATCCAAAAGTATTATTTTGCTTGTCAAAATACAACTTTAAGTAAATAATTAACCCTTTGGGGGAGAATTTCTTATCCTTGTGAAAGGCACATGTTTTACATATATATATATACATACTGGCATTGTGGGTTAATGTGCCACACTGCAAAGCTGTTTGAACTCCAAGGTCAGCAGTTCAAGCTCAGAAGCTGCTCCTCGGAAACCCTATACAGGTTCGCTATGGGTAGGAACTGACTCGATGGCACTTAATAACAACAATATATATATATATTTATTTATACACACACACACA